AAGGGACCCAACTTTCTGGGTCCCTTCAGGTGTTGGGCCAGGAGCTAAACAAGTAACTGGGAAATCCCTGTGACAAGTACCTGTTTTCATACTTATTTCCTCTTCTTTTATGTATGGTACAACTTTGAGGGTCAAGGAAATTGGAATTTGTGTATTCATGTGTGTGTGTGTGTGTATGTGTGTGTGTTTGCCAGGACAGGGGCTTGAATTCAGGGCCTGAGCACTGTCCCTAGCTTTCTCACTCAAGGTTGGTGCTCTACCACTTGAGCCACAGCTCCACTTCTGCCTGGCTCCAAGAGTTACTTGAAGAGATTATTCTTTTCCCTGTGGCTTCTTGTCAAAATTAAGAATTGGGATCTGGGCACTGGTGGCTCACACCTGTCATCCTAGCTACTCAGGAAACTAAGATCTGAGGATCATGGTTTGAAGCCAGCCTGGGCAGAAAAGTCCCCATGAGACTCTTATCTCCAATTAATCAGCAAATTAATCTCCAGTGAGCTGGAGGACTGAAGTGGTAGAACAGCAGCTGTGAATAGAAATGTCAAGCAAGAGCAGTACCCCAATCTGAGTGTGCACATGCACGCACGCGCACACACACACACACACACAGACTACAATAGAATGGCTGCCCTACTTGACAGACAGGAAACTGAGACCCAAAAGGATAGACACTTTCCAGTGAGGAAAAGCTAAACCTGAGAACCTACTTTGTCTTGAGTCCTAAACTCAACAAAGATACTCAACTATCTTCCATCTACATGGAATTTTGAACCAGGGGATGAGAAGAACTAGGGAATTCAACACAGGAAGTAAAACCAGGCACTGGTGGCTCAGGCCTGTGACCCTAACTACTCAGGAGGCTAAGATCTGAGGATGGCAGTTCAAACCCAGCCCCAGAAGGAGAGTCCCCATGAGACTCATCTCCAAAGAACCTCCAGAAAACTGGAAATGGCACTGGGCTCAAAGGGGTAGAACACTAGCCTTGAGCAAAAGCACTCAGAGACAGTGCCCAGGCCCCGAGTTCAGGCCCCATGACTGACAAGAAAAAAAAGAATCAAAAACCAGTAAAATGTAATAGGAAGAAAGGAGAAGACCCCTCCCCAGAGATTTTCCCAAAGGTGAATTCAATCTATTTGTACTCAGGGGGAGATTATAAGTTACATAAATCCCCTGCCAAGGAATCTGTTCCTCTGATGGCATTACACCCAGCACACCTGAGTTTCAGGATATTTAGATTTCAGTTTAAGCTCCCAGAAACTATTTAGGAAGGATCTGAAGCCGAGGAGTGAACCTCTCTCTCCATGTCGCCCAATGGACCCAGAAGGGACCTTGACTATGTTTCTGGCGATCAGTGTGTCTTGTCTGTTCATCCTCAAAGCCTGGAAATGAATCAACAAGGGAGGAAAGCTGCCCCCAGGCCCCAGACCAATTCCTTTCCTGGGGAACGTGCTGCAGGTCCGCATCGATGCCTTTTTTCACTCTTTCATGAAGGTGAGTCTGTGGGCCTCCCCCCACAGGAGAGGAAACCATGAACCCCACAGCCAGGTGCCCAGGGCAAAAGCACACATAGGGAACACACTTGGTTGGCCATCTTAAAATGTGGAAAACAATCCCAGAATCAGGAACTTCACGAGAACTTACCTGTGCATCGGGGTACATCTCTGCTTAATGTCAGGAGTTTGGAAGACAAGGGCTCTTGTGGTCGGATTATTTTACAAGTTGGAGGGTCAGTTTCTCAAGATTCTAGAAAGTTAGTGTAGGTGCCAGTGGTTCATGCCTGTAATCTCAGCTATTCAGGAACCTGAGATCTGAGGATGCTGGTTCAAAGCCAGCCTGAGCTAGAAATTCTATGAGACTTTTATCTCCAATTCACCAGCAAAAACAACAACAAAAAAAAACCAGAGGTGGCTAAAAGTGATAGAGTGCTAGCTAAGAGGCAGTGCCCAGGCCTTGAGTTCAAGTCCCAGTACACACAGATACACACACACACACACACACACACACACACACACACACACACACACACACAAAGCATGCACATACAGACAGCAAACAAATGGTTATAAAGTTAATGTTTTATAGAGAGAAACATGGGTCTGAGTTCATCAAATCCACATCTACCACTTTACATATATTAAAACAATTATCTTGGTGTGTGTATATGTGTGTGTTTGTCTGTCTGTCTGTCCTTTGGAAGGTGCTGTTCCTAAGCTTTTGTGCTCAAGGCTGGTGCTCTACTTCTGGCTTTTTGGTGGTTCATTGGAGATCAGAGTCTCACAGACCTTCCTGCCCAGGCTGACTTTGAACCATGATCCTCAGATCTCAGTCTCCTGAGTAGCCAGGA